ATTCTGAACCGTCCCTGTGCACTGTATATGGGGACAGTCGGTGGGCCCAATCTGGACCAGCCCCAGAGCCAGTATGCAAGGCCAGTCTGGCATGGGTATTACATGTAGCATGTAACCTGGACTGGCCCTGTCCTGCATGCAGCAGTCATGGCATTGCGTCCAGTCCCACATGCTTCATGCCAAATCAGCACCATGGATCACATGCAGTATATGGGGCTGGGACCAGCATGGGCTGCAGGGTTAGTTCAAGACCGATAGGCCATATTGTAGGGCTCCACAGACCAAACGTGGTCCATGGGCTGGATCTTTGACCCCCTTGTCTCATGTCATGCCTGCAGTTCTGGTCTCCTCCAGGTCCAAAAGCTTATAATAGGACTAGAAAAAGGTACACAGAAGGGCCCAGAGGATGATCAGGGACATCTGAACAAGGAGAGACTAAAGTGAATTTTTTCAGCTTAGAGAAAAGATGACTAAATAGATGTCTATAAAATTATGAATGATGTGAACAAGGGAAAGAGATTTACTATCTTTCACAGTACCAAACTGGCATTAGAAAAATCAAGCGTAAAAATTGCAACAAAAAAAAGTTCACTCACACCAAGTATTATTAACTTACAAAACTCGTTGCCACAAGGTGCTATAGGAGCTGATTATTTAATCGGGTTCAAAAGAGGATTAGACAAATTAATACAGGACAAGTCTATCAGTGAGTATTAAAATTATAGCTACAGGTGCAAGCTACAAATTAGGACTTCCTAAGCCTGTACGTCTTGGAAGCTGTAAAGGAAGAGGGGTAAAGGAACAATCTGTCTGTACACGTCCTGAATAAGTAGTCTTCCCCTTAGCATCTGCCCTGAGCCACTGTGATAGACAATATTGGGCTAGATCAGGGGTTGTCAACCAGGGGTACGCGTACCCCATGGGGGTCCTTGGGACAGCTGTAGGGGCACGTGTGGCAGTGTGGGGAAGCAGCGTGAGGCGGCGGCATGGAGTGGTGAATGGTGGCAGTGGCGGCTAAATGCGAGTTCCCTGCCCCCTGCCACCACCATTCACCACTCCACGCCGCCGCCAGCACACGCCACTTCCCCGTCCCCTGCCACAGCCATTCACCACTCTGTGCCATTGCTGCGCACTGCTTCCCTGTCCCCCTGCCACCACCATTCACCACTCCGTGCCGCCACTTTCCCATGCCACCAGCTTCGCATCCGGCCAGCTGTCAGCACCTCCATCTCTCCCCCATCTGGAAGGGGGTACACTCCTTAAAAAAGGTTGAAAACCTCTGGGCTAGATGGCTCTGTAGTCTTAACCAATATAGCATCTCTTCTGTTCTTGCATAGCTCCAAACAGTCTTGCCACTCAGGCCCAACTCAGAGTTCTGCTCTGCCATTCTTCCTGTAGGATCTTGGGCAAGGCTCCAGCCTCCAGGCAATTCAGTGTCCTCAACTGTTACGTAGCAAGCCCTAGATTCACAGAAATGTCACTAGCATGAGCTCATTCCTTGTGGGGCATTCAGATAATGTGATGGTGGCACCATATATAACTGCTTTCAGAAGCGGGAACATGCCCTTGATCCTTGCACTGAGTGGTTTTGGTGAAGCTAAAGTATTTGATAGAAATCAAAAATAGCTATATTTGCTTGAGTTTTAATTAGGCATGTAAAAATTGCTTTAAAAATTAACTGTCTGACCTCCTCCAATTATGTTGGTTAAATGGTTAACCAATAACACAACAGCTCAGATACAGCTGTTGCTGGGAAATGTTTCCTGGCCCCTTGGGGGTGAGGGGAGGGGTGAAACTCAATGCTGGGAGGGAAGGAGCACCTGTGAAGGGGAAGCTAATTGCTTAACTGATGAGTCATTAGGCTGCCCACTGTTTTCTTCTTTAACCTCATAGGCCAGGAGTGGGCAATTATTTGGGCTGGAGGGCCACTTAGTAGGGCTGGGTGAACCGGCTAGTAGCACAGTTTCATTTCGACTTCTGCAACCTGGTGGTTCCCCTCTCTTTTAGAGTAATCTTTTTATGCTATTCGTAAAGACTTAAACATGAAAGGAACCAAGTCTGATTTTGCTCTGAATTTCTGGACAGTGCCTGGACTAGTTCTCTCTAAATGCAGCCTACCAAGTCACTAGTGATTTCCTAGAGGGAGTTTTGCAGCAGCCTCTCCTGCACTACCTCATTATCAGGGTGAAGGTAGGGTATGGTTAATTGATCTAGCTGCAGCTACTTACAGCAAGGGGGTGTGGACATGCCACAGAGAAGCCAATATACAGTAAGCCTGTCTGCCAACTCTTACCCCAAAGTGAAAGCTAAATCAAGGTAGCAGTCCCATCTAATATAGCTTTCATTCAGGGCAGGGTCCAAGTGGATTAATCAGCATATATTGGGTGCTCTGCAAATTTGCTACAGAAGTTCTTAACTCTAATTTCCTTCAGCTGTCTTTCCCATGCCAGGCACTTGGCCATACAGCACCTTTTATCTTGTAAGATCACTTGAGGACAAAAAATAGTTCAATCTCAGACATGTACACTGGTGTACCTAACATCAAAATTGATGAACTACATCTTTAAACAGCTATCCTGATTGAGGTCTTTAGGAGCTCCTGTCATATGAGCCTCCTCATTTTTTAAACAAATGAATTGAAATCCCATATCACATCAGCAGCAGGATACAGAGCTGCAAATAATAATCTGTCACCATTTCCATTGTAATGGTGCTGCTCAGAGCATGTATGCATAATAAAACAACAGCACCCTGCTAAGCTCAAGCCTAGTTACATCCTATAGTACAAAAGACAATTAGAAGGCTGGAAAATGACTTGTCCTTATAACTTATTACCACGCTCTAAATAAAGAAGCTGTCTTCTAGCAAATGGAGCATCTTTTTATTTTGTCAGAGCTGTACCTTCCAGGACAATGAATCAAGCATAGCTCTACACAAACACACACAGCAACTTCTGCAAAGCTACTGTACTTTTGGATGGATTTCAAAGTTCTTGGTAATGCACAATACTGTGCCAGGGGCTCAAGGCAAAGTGGACATGTACCAGCTTAAGGCCAAATCCTACTTCGCCTTAACATATTTAAGTGGCAATTCTGCAGTTCCACCCTTTTTTGCACTTCCACCCTGTGTGGCAATAGGGTTAGTCATGTATGCACATATCTGCTGGAAGAAATACAGAGGGGAAGAATAACCCTCATAACTAGGGGTGCACTGATAGAGATTATTTGGGCCGATACTGATGGCTGATTTTTAAGGAGGCATATCAGCCGATCCGATTCTGATATGCAGCTGAGCAGTGTGGAGACCAGCGTCGGGCTGGTAAGTCTGGTGTGGGGGAAGGGAAGGGGTATGGGGGTGCAGATTGAGGCCCCCGCAGTGAGGGAAGGAGTAGGGCTGGGGCAGGCACTACTCAGCCAGGGTGGGGAGGGGCACAGGATGGAGCCATGAGCAGCTCGTCCAGTGGATGCAGGGGTAGGGAGGCAGCTCCCACCCTGCATGCACCCTGGGAGGGCACGGGAGGGCATGTGCCTCTGGATCTGCACGCAGAGTGGGGCAGGCTGCTGTGCTCTTCTCAGTGTGGAGCTAGGCCCGGCTGCGCTTGGAGTGGGTAGTGGCAGTGCTGGCAGGAGGGCTGCAGCCTCCCCAAAATTCGCTGTAGCCCCCACTTAACTCCACTCCCAGTGCTGTTGCTGCCCACCCCGTAGTGCAGAACGGTCTGACCCAGCCCCCAGCCATAGCCCACCCCACCCCGCACACAGATCCGGGGTCACATTCACCCCGTGCCCTCCTACAGTGCACGCAACAGCGGGAGCTGCTCCCCCAGACGAACTGCTCATGACTCTGTCCCATGCCCCACCCCACCCAAGCAGTGCCTTCCCCAGCCCCACTTGCCCAGGGAGCAAGAGACCTAGGTCTCTACGTCCCAATTCCCAGTGAAATGCTGTAGTCATGAGGCCACAAATCAGGCATTTCCTCAAGCCCCACAATGGCTGCTTCTTAAAGCTAGCTCACTGAGCAGCCAGGAAGAGAGGGTATGTGGAGCCAGAAAAAAGAGACAGGCCAGAGTAGGGGATGGTTCAGTGAGGCAGATGCTGCCCTTTGCTTTAGCCTTCGTTTCTGTTCTGCTGACGCAGGACCATCTCACTGTTGTTGATCCATTTCATCCAATGTATGAAAGGCACAGAAAAGAGGCAGGGGCCAGAATGTTGGACCCCTTCTTCCTTCTCCATTAAACAACTGTTAGTCATGGTATTTTCTGTGACTGATAAAAAGGGAAGCAGAGAGGAACTAGCTATGCAAGTCCAAATAGCATCCACCCTCTGCATAAGTAGCAAAAATTACACTTGCATGACTATAAGCGTGCCACTTCTGTGCAAAGGTGAAATAGGATTTATCTGTAAGCGTCCCGAAACAGAAAAGCAAAGTACCTGAAAGCTTACTAGTATCACTTCTCTTAAAAATGCGTACCATGTATTATACACCAAACCAACCCTGGAGGTTTTGCGCCTCTAGGACAGATAAAAGGCTATATAAAGCAAACGCCTTTGCCACATACTTAGGGAATTTCTAGAATCATTTACAAACTATGCATTACATTTAATCCCAGGGACAGACCATCCCAAGGCCTTTAACCCATTTAAGTGCTCCACACTGGTGCTCTGCACATGGGCAGAATTCACCAGTGTCTAATCTCTAGTCAGCAGCACTCAAAACCCTGTTTGGCAGAAACCCCGAACCTTTAGGAGCATAGCCTTTTCCAGCTTGCAAGTGGCTGCCCTTTCCTAGGAAACAGAGGGGGATTCACCAAGTCTTTTTTACAGAATGCAAGTAACTCCCACAGAGAATTTGGTCTGTTTCATAGATGACTTGCAATGGAGTCAAGGAGTACAGAATGGCTTATCTGTGATGCTGTTTAGCTACTGGATCTGTTATACCCCACACTCTATAGTAATGTGCACAGAACAACTCAATCAAGCAAGTAAACAGAAGATGTCACTTACTGGTGTTATGGTCTATGTAATAAACTCCAACTTGAGGATCATAAGCTTCTTCCCATCCTAATGGCAGCTCATCACTAATACAGTCAGCAAAGGTTAGTGGCTTAGTATACCTGAAATACAAAATAAATTGTTTTAAATGCTACATGTCCAGCAAAGTGATTTGAAAAGAATACCAATAACTTTTCTTAAAGGGACTCAGTTGGAAAATGATGGAAAATGATGGAACCTTATGTTTTGATGCGTGCCATTTTTTTTAAGCGATGATCTACAAACAGTCCCTCCCTTTAGTCTAATATAGCAGGATGATATAGTTACTTTGCCAGAATTCCCAGACCTCATCTGCCTCAGCCAGTTGTCATTCAAAAGGAGAATATTAAGAATATTGCCAGGTACTGGTTTTTTTATGTGCCTGGAAAGTTCATAGATTAAATTAGGACTCCTTTTTTTGTCTTTGTCAAACCTATCAATATAGTATGCTGCTATTTAGGCACTGCATACTTTGGTATCCAAGGTACTCTTCCTCCATAAAAAGCTATTAAAACCAATAAGAACAACTCCAAACATTAAAATAAAATCAAAGAAACAAAACAACCCCTCCCCCCACCACCACCAAATTTTTCACATCTGGTTGGGTGACAAACTTTTCTTATCCCACTAAACTTCCTGTTTCATGGAACAAGATCGTTCAAAGTCAAAAAACCTGTGTGTGCACGTCTACTCCAGGAGTCAACAGCACTGGGGTGTGGAAGGCCGAATTTCAAGTCCCAGGTGAGTCCACAGATCCTAAATATTCACCAGAGCAGGGATGAGTGCTATAACCCTCAATTCCAAGTGCATCATATTGTGGGGCACAGTCAGTCTCTTCCTGACCCAGCCAATTAACTGAAACACGATTCTGCAAAATTCAGTTCCCATTTTACTACACTTTAGTTGCACATGTGTGCACAGATATAAACACACCTTAAGAGAGACTGATCCAGAGAGGGTACGGCAGCATGGCTGGTCATGTTGCACATGAGTTCTTGGCGTGGGGTCTGACCAGACCCCCTGTTCTCATGGAGGGATCATGGGGTAAACGATGCTGCTGCTCTTAAAATCGTAAATATTAATTGTTTTAATAGTAATCAAGAGTAATCGCTACAGACTTGTTCCATGTTTCTCTCAGAAAGCAGTGGTTTAAAACACCATGCATATTTTCCATGTTCTCACAATTTTAACAACTACAGTTCTCCAACCTAGTTTAGCCAACTTGAGCAGACACGTAAACAAAAAAATCATATCCGATTCCAAGCACCTTGTAAACGAAACAATGAAATAGAGCCTCTTGCCTACGGAAGCTAATGATTTCTACCTAGCGTAAGATGATGACATTTATTTTTCATTTGTATAATACATTTACTTCTACTAAATTTCAAGAGGTTGAAAGGAAAATGTCACTTGCTATAAAAAATACCAGCCACATTTAGTGTTTAATTCTGAATTTCATAAGAAAATGCCTAGCTCTGTCCTTAGAGATGATGGATCTTCTATACCAAACGTATACCTGTGGGGTGGGGAGGGGAGGATCAGACAGGAAGGGGGAGAGCACTTACCCTCCTATTTCTGCACAACAATGCTACTACACTAGCACAATGCATGCACCATTTTCTGGTGTAAAACAGTCCAGCCCACACTCATCTAAATCTATGCACTGCTTTTAAAAGAAAACCTTGACAGGAACATGGCCAGGGCACGTGCCCTGGAAATTTCTTCCTTTTGTAAGTCCAACTCAGCTTATGTCAGGTAGAGCTGCTCAGTCCTGTGCCCTGGTTGTAAATGGCAGCTGACCCGGGGAAGAGCAATAAGTTTTCTCTCTCTCCACAAGCCAACACAGGCACTAATATGACCTCAAACAAGGCCATACATGAGGAGGCCTTGTATCCCTCAGAGGCAAAAAAATTAAAATAAATAAGTAAAATAATCACATTGCAGACAATGATGGGGTTAATCAAAATAACTGAGTGCTTTACATTTTCTTATGAAGTCAATGCAGTACATGAGCCATAGCTGTTCACGTGCTACCCAGTAAGGCTCACATCAGATATACTCAGAACATTTGTCAGTGTCCTCCCATGCCAGTTCCAAGCAGGAACATTAAATAAAAGTTACAGCAACTATGGATTGCTAACATACATTCAAATGACAGAAAAACTAGTTCTCCCTCTTTTCAAACAGAACTCTTGTAAGTGTAGAAGTATTTAATATACTCTTCAGACTGCTAGTACAAATGGAGGGGAATGAACGCAGTGGCACAGGGGCCTTCTTGCAGTCCTGCATTCCTGTTTACTTCTCAGTTATTAATCTATATAAATATAAGCTTCTTCCCAAACTTTCCTTCTTCTGGCTTGGCCTTCCAAGCCAAGCCCCCTTCCAGCCCTTCACTCAGGTTCTGCATGGAGAGTCTGCGAGATGTCAGCATGCCCGGCTGGTTCTGTTCCCCTCCTCCATAGGTGTGGGACTCTTGCACCTTTCCAAACTGTTTGGCTCAAGATCCTAAGTCCCAATTTAAAGTATAAGTTTCTACTTCAATTCAATTAATTTTGTCATTCAAGCTTAAACAAGAAAGTGAGTTGGCCTTTCCTTATTGCCTTGGGTAATTCACATGCATTCCTGCAATAATTTTGATTGCACAACCAGCCTCAGAATGGCACTCCTTTACCTTCAGGCTCTGAGAGATTATTCACACTGTTATTAAATAGACACAGTGCGGTTTTTGTTTTGTTTCATATTTAAGTAGTGCCAATCCATGCAGCCATTCTGAAATAAGAATGATGTTCTATGAGCCTGCCTTCTTGTTCAGTACTATTAGGAATAAATGAACGTTGGGAATTCTTTTTAAAATCTGAAGTATTCCTTTAAGAAGAAAACTGAAATTGCTAACTCCATGCTTGCTTATTTTCTGGTATTTTTTTCCCAGTAAACTATACATAAAAAGTCTGACAGACAGGCTCCTAGCTCTGTGCTTATTTGGCAAGGCAGTGGAAGAATGGTATGACTGGATGCTTTATTTCACTTAATTGCTGTATTTGTTTCTTGTGAGAGACATTTTCCCTACTCCTCCCCACTCGCTCCAAACCCAACACACCAGCACTCTCCACTTCCCCCACTTAAAGTTCAATTCATCCTGAAGGCCAGGTGGAAGACTTGGTCACAATTTGGAACGTGGAGGAACTCATAGATTCATAGATGTTTGGGTCGGAAGGGACGTCAACAGATCATCGAGCCTGACCCCCTGCCCTGGGCAGGAATGAGTGCTGGGGTCAGATGACCCCACCCAGATGCCTATCCAGCCTTCTCTTAAAGACCCCCAGGGTAGGAGAGAGCACCACCTCCCTTGGAAGTCTATCCCAGATTCTGGCAACCCTTACTGTAAAGAAGTTCTTCTTGATGTCCAGCTTAAATCTGCTCTCTGTCAGTTTGTGACCATTGCTCCTTGTTACCCCAAGAGGCACCCTGGTGAACAGAGCATCTCCGGTTCCTTGATGCACCCCCCCAATGAATTTGTTGGCAGCCACAAGATCACCTCTCAGCCTTCTCTAGCGGAGGCTGAAGAGATCCAAGTCCTTTAGTCTCTCCTCATAGGGCTTGGCCTGCAAACCCTTAACCATATGAGTGGCCCTCCTCTGAACCCTCTTGAGGTTATCTACATCCTTCTTAAAGTACGGTGCCCAAAATTGGACACACTACTCCAACTGCAGTCTGACCAATGTTGCACAGAGGAGAAGTATCACCTCCTTGGTTCTATTTGTCATGCATCTGCTAATGCATGATAAAGTGTGGTTAGCTTTACTAATGATTTCATCACACTGACAATTCATGTTTATCCTGTAGTCCACTATGACTCCAAGATCCCTTTCCGCTTCTGTGCTGCTGAGAGGGTCATTTCCCAGCCAGTAGGTGTGCTGGCTATTTTTACACCCTAGGTGCAGCACTCTGCACTTGTCCTTGTTGTATTGCATCCTATTATGTTCTGCCAACTTTTCCAACATGTCCAGGTCTGCCTCCAATCATTCCCTACACTCCGGAGTGTGCACTTCTTCCCACAATTTAGTATCATCTGCAAACTTGGACAGAGTACACTTCACGTTCATATCCAAGTCACTGATGAAGACATTGAAGAGTGCAGGTCCAAGGACCGAGCCCCGTGGGACCACACTACCCACATCCTCCCAGGTCGATACCGACTCGTCCACCACCACTCTGAGTGTGGCCTCTAAGTCAATTTGCCACCCACCAGACTGTGTAATCATCTAAGTCACAGCCTCTTAATTTATTTATGAGAATGGGATGAGATACCGTATTGAAGGCCTTCCTAAAATCCAAGTAAACAACATCCACCTCTACTCCTGCGTCTAAGTGTTTTGTGACCTGGTCATAAAACAAAACCAGATTAGTCAGGCATGATCTACCTGCTATGAATGCATGCTGCTTGCCCTACTGCATTATTTTTCCCACTGGACTTGCACAAATATAAACCTTAATAATTTTTTCAAAGACTTTTCCAAGAATAGAGGTGAGACTAACTGGCCTATAATTACTCAGATCCTTCTTCCTCCCCATCTTGAAAATAGGGACCACATTGGCCCTTTTCCAGTCCTCCAGGACCTGACCTGAGTGCCACAAGCGCTCAAATAGCCGTGCCAGTGGTTCTGCTATGACACCAGCCAATTCCATCAGTACCCTCAGATGCAGTTCATCTGGGCCTGATGACTTATATGCATCCAGCCCATCCAAGTGACTCTGTATCAAGTCAGCGTCAACAGTTGGTGGACTGGCATCCCTCTGATGCCCATCTAAGAACCCATTAGAAGACTTGTCTTGACCCTTGTTCAGGAACACTGAGGCAAAAAACTCATTAAAGAGCTCAGCCGTGTACCCCCTGTCTATCACTAATTGCTCCTGCTTGTTCAGTAGGGGTTGTAGGCTGCCTTGTGCTTTCCTTTTACTCCTTACATACCTAAAAAATATTTTTTGTCATCTTTAATTTGTGTTGCCAGCCTCAGCTCTGTAATTACTTTGGCCTAACTGTCTCCCTGCAAAATATACTCCTCCTTGGTAGCTTCCCCCTGCTTCCACTGCCTATATGCTTCTTTTTTTGCCCTTAGGCTTCCCTAGATTTCTCTGTTTTGCCATGGAGGTTTTTTGGCCCCTTTCTCCTCTTTCCCTCACAATGGGATCGTTTCCCTCTGCACCCAAAGGATCCCTTCCTTTAGGAATGATCACCCTTCCTGGACTCCCATCTTGCCAATACTCCTATCTTGCAGTGCATCAGTGACTAAACTCCTGAGCACACTGAAGTTAGCCTTACTAAGGTCAAGCACTTCTGCCCTACTAGTTATCTTTCCCACCCTACGCCATATGGTGAATTTGACTGATTGATGGTCACTGTCCCCAAGGTGACCATGAATCTGCAGCTCCCTTACCAGGTCATCCTCATAGCCAACACCAATTCCAGTAAGGCATTGCCCCTAGTAGGACCGTATACCTCCTGCGTTAGGTGAAGGTCCTGTATGCAGGTTAAGAACCTACGTGAATGGTTGGATTTGGCTGAGTGCTGCTCTCAGCAGATGTCAGGGTGGTTTAGGTCTCCCATGACAACCATGTCCCTAGACCATACAGCCTCTGACAGCTGCCTTAAGAATTCCAAGTCTAGCTCTTCCTCTTGATGCGGTGGTCTGTAGCAGACCCCCACCACCAAGCCCCTTTCCCCTGACCTCCACGTATCCTAACCCACAATACCTCAGCTTTCTCCTCCTCTGATCCCATTTTGATTAGGGTAGATACTCCTTAACATAGAGAGTAACCCCCCTCCCACTTTCCTTCCTACTCTATCCCATCTGTACAACCTATACAACTCAAACACTTGTTCACTAAACCCCAATTACATGTACAAGCTATGTTTAGAGCCCGTCAGAAAAATCACCCTGTGAATCATTACATGCCCAATACAAACCTCAAAACAATCTTTTCAGCCTTTCATTTGACAAGTCACATGGCTGTAAAAGATGAGTTTCTGTAACAATGTTTACTTTGCCACTTATGTTTTGCAGAACTTGATCAGAAAGAATGATCTTGCCCTGCTTAGACAGTTATGAAAACCTGTATTCACTGATTTCCAACCAACCAACAGATCTCAAGCAAAGAGAGGTGCCTCTAAATCCCAGAGAAAGGCAGGGTTTTAGATGCACCCTTCTTCTCAGCATTTCTTACTGGCTAGCTTCCACTTAGGCATCTAAGAAACCACAAAACTCAGCCCACTAACTGCCCAAGCACTGTATAGGGGAGCCTACACAACAAAAACAGGATTGAAGATACCATTAAATAGCTAGATGTCTAAAAATTAGATGTTGCAATGCAGAAGTCCCCCTTGGTGTCTAGCCCCTGATTCTTAACTCAAGAATCTATGGTTTTTGGATGGGGCAGCCTTGTTTTTTCTTGTTTTCTTAAATCTGGGCAAAAACAATAAAAACAAACGAACAAAAAGGGTCTATATTTTTATTAACAGTACATCTGAGAATAGATTTAGACAGGAGCTTGCAGCGAAGAATGAGGAAGAATACCAAAACAGCACTTCTACATCTGTTCGAAACCAACATCAAGAGACATGCTAATGTACCCTGTTCAGTCCTATTTTGTAACTAAAAGCATAGGTTATGAATCAGATCTCCTTGCTTCTGACCTTGAAACCTGGGGCAATTCCTCCATGCCATGGGAAAAAACAACCATCTGTGATAGCATTGCAACTGTATATGCTACGTACAACCTCAGTTCTTTTAGGAGGCCTGGGTGTGGCTCACCTGCCGTCCTCCCTCTCCCGCCACAGAGCAAACACTTACAGCATGCGTGGACTAGGACTGCCTCTCAGACAGCAACCTCAGACAGGCTCTTACAGATGTGAGATTGTGGAACCAAAAGTTAACTCTTCACTGGCAAGGAGTGAAGGGACCAACTGCCCCATTCCTTGGCCCTGTCTCTTCCAAGAGAGTGGATACATATTTCACCTGTGCATTTGCAAAGGTACCCAAAGACCAGAATGCATTTCTTACATTAAAATGCATAAATAGAGTCAGACTCAAATTCAACTTCAGTCATCTCGCTCAGATGGTAGAGTGACAAGTTTAGAAGTCAGCAAAAATAACTTAGTTTCAGGTACCACCACTGCCTGCAGTTATTCTCCTTGCATATTTGTAACTTTACAATCATTTTTAACTTCCACAGATTTCTTCTTTCCCATATTGCTGTGTGAAAGACTGGCACAAACAGAGCAAGTCATCTATATAAGGAAAAATGAACTTGACAGAATTGTTATAATAAAATTCACAAAATGAACTGGAAAAGAGAGTTTTTTTTTTCCTTTTTGGGGGTGCACTATGATTTTGGGTCTGTTTATCATTGTGATAATAAAACATTTTCTGATAA